GCAGCTTAGGACACGCTAAGCACATGCTAAGTACATGTTGGGACACGCTAAGGGCGTGTAAGCATAGAGGGAAGTTTGTTTATATGGGTGGAACCGGTAGCTTTGATCTCTGCAGTCGTGTTGGCACGATGTTGGGGCAGCTTAGGACATGCTAAGCACGCGCTAGGACACGCTAAGTACATGTTAGGACACACTAAGGGCGTGGAAGCGTAGAGGGAAGTTTGTTTGTAAGGGTGGAACCGGTAGCTTTGATCTCTGCAGTCGTGTTGGGGCAGCTTAGGACACGCTAAGCACATGCTAGGACACGCTAAGGGCGTGTAAGCGTAGAGGGAAGGTTGTTTGTAAGGGTGGAACCGGTAGCTTTGATCTCTGCAGTCGTGTTGGGGCAGCTTAGGACACGCTAAGCACATGCTAAGTACATGTTGGGACACGCTAAGGGCGTGTAAGCATAGAGGGAAGTTTGTTTATATGGGTGGAACCGGTAGCTTTGATCCCTGCAGTCGTGTTGGCACGATGTTGGGGCAGCTTAGGATACGCTAAGCACATGCTAGAACACGCTAAGTACATGTCAGCGCCTCGGGGGAGGGTAGGAGGTGGTAGGACATGCTAAGCACATGCTAGGACACGCTAAGGGCGTGTAAGCGTAGAGGGAAGTTTGTTTGTAAGGGTGGAACCGGTAGCTTTGATCCCTCCAGTCGTGTTGGCACGATGTTGGGGCAGCTTAGGATACGCTAAGCACATGCTAGAACACGCTAAGTACATGTCAGCGCCTCGGGGGAGGGTAGGAGGTGGTAGGACATGCTAAGCACATGCTAGGACACGCTAAGGGCGTGTAAGCGTAGAGGGAAGTTTGTTTGTAAGGGTGGAACCGGTAGCTTTGATCCCTCCAGTCGTGTTGGCACGATGTTGGGGCAGCTTAGGATACGCTAAGCACATGCTAGAACACGCTAAGTACATGTCAGCGCCTCGGGGGAGGGTAGGAGGTGGTAGGACATGCTAAGCACATGCTAGGACACGCTAAGGGCGTGTAAGCGTAGAGGGAAGTTTGTTTGTAAGGGTGGAACCGGTAGCTTTGATCCCTCCAGTCGTGTTGGCACGATGTTGGGGCAGCTTAGGATACGCTAAGCACATGCTAGAACACGCTAAGTACATGTCAGCGCCTCGGGGGAGGGTAGGAGGTGGTAGGACATGCTAAGCACATGCTAGGACACGCTAAGGGCGTGTAAGCGTAGAGGGAAGTTTGTTTGTAAGGGTGGAACCGGTAGCTTTGATCCCTCCAGTCGTGTTGGCACGATGTTGGGGCAGCTTAGGATACGCTAAGCACATGCTAGAACACGCTAAGTACATGTCAGCGCCTCGGGGGAGGGTAGGAGGTGGTAGGACATGCTAAGCACATGCTAGGACACGCTAAGGGCGTGTAAGCGTAGAGGGAAGTTTGTTTGTAAGGGTGGAACCGGTAGCTTTGATCCCTCCAGTCGTGTTGGCACGATGTTGGGGCAGCTTAGGATACGCTAAGCACATGCTAGAACACGCTAAGTACATGTCAGCGCCTCGGGGGAGGGTAGGAGGTGGTAGGACATGCTAAGCACATGCTAGGACACGCTAAGGGCGTGTAAGCGTAGAGGGAAGTTTGTTTGTAAGGGTGGAACCGGTAGCTTTGATCCCTCCAGTCGTGTTGGCACGATGTTGGGGCAGCTTAGGATACGCTAAGCACATGCTAGAACACGCTAAGTACATGTCAGCGCCTCGGGGGAGGGTAGGAGGTGGTAGGACATGCTAAGCACATGCTAGGACACGCTAAGGGCGTGTAAGCGTAGAGGGAAGTTTGTTTGTAAGGGTGGAACCGGTAGCTTTGATCCCTCCAGTCGTGTTGGCACGATGTTGGGGCAGCTTAGGATACGCTAAGCACATGCTAGAACACGCTAAGTACATGTCAGCGCCTCGGGGGAGGGTAGGAGGTGGTAGGACATGCTAAGCACATGCTAGGACACGCTAAGGGCGTGTAAGCGTAGAGGGAAGTTTGTTTGTAAGGGTGGAACCGGTAGCTTTGATCCCTCCAGTCGTGTTGGCACGATGTTGGGGCAGCTTAGGATACGCTAAGCACATGCTAGAACACGCTAAGTACATGTCAGCGCCTCGGGGGAGGGTAGGAGGTGGTAGGACATGCTAAGCACATGCTAGGACACGCTAAGGGCGTGTAAGCGTAGAGGGAAGTTTGTTTGTAAGGGTGGAACCGGTAGCTTTGATCCCTCCAGTCGTGTTGGCACGATGTTGGGGCAGCTTAGGATACGCTAAGCACATGCTAGAACACGCTAAGTACATGTCAGCGCCTCGGGGGAGGGTAGGAGGTGGTAGGACATGCTAAGCACATGCTAGGACACGCTAAGGGCGTGTAAGCGTAGAGGGAAGTTTGTTTGTAAGGGTGGAACCGGTAGCTTTGATCCCTCCAGTCGTGTTGGCACGATGTTGGGGCAGCTTAGGATACGCTAAGCACATGCTAGAACACGCTAAGTACATGTCAGCGCCTCGGGGGAGGGTAGGAGGTGGTAGGACATGCTAAGCACATGCTAGGACACGCTAAGGGCGTGTAAGCGTAGAGGGAAGTTTGTTTGTAAGGGTGGAACCGGTAGCTTTGATCCCTCCAGTCGTGTTGGCACGATGTTGGGGCAGCTTAGGACACGCTAAGCACATGCTAGGACATGCTAAGTACACTCCAGGACATGCTAAAGGCACGTAAGTGCAGAGAAGCTTCGGAGATTTATGAGGTTTACGAGGCTTTGGTGTCTGCAGCCACAGTGGTATCGTGTTGGGGCAGCTTAGGACACGCTAAGCACATGCTGGGACATACTAAGAACATACTTAGCACATATTGGGACATCTCGAGGACCCACTAAGGGCGTGTCCGCGCGTTGTAAGAGCTGTTGACACGGGCAGCAGCGGTGGTTTCGTTCCCTACAGCTCTGTTGCTGCCGTGGAGCGCTCTGTGAGCGTGCTGGGGGAGGTTATGACATGCTAAGGACATGCTAAAGACACGCTAAGCACACGCACAAATATGGGGAGGCCCCTGGGGCTGCACATTGGGGACCTGCAGCAACAGGTTTGCTCTCTGCAGCCTCATTGCCAGCGTGGATGGCACGCTGAGCCCGCTGGGACACGCCAGGACACGTTAGTGACATGTTAGGACATGGTAAGGACACACGTGTCCCTAGGAAGGTTTGGCCGGGGGCGGCGGGGGGAGGGCTGTGCCCTCAGCTTTGTCCTCTGAAGCCTCCTTGCTGTCACGGACAGCACCATGAGGATGCTGTGATAGCTTAGAACATGCTGAGTACATGTTAAGAACATGCTAAGGACATGTGGGGGGGTGGGGTTGTATTTAGGGGCTCCAAGGTCCCTC